TCAAGCCGTACTGAAAACAGTCAACCAGAGGAGATCACATGTAGGAGGGGAACATGATCATGAAGCCGATGCCGGTCATCCAATAATGGTAGTAGAAGACCTGGTTCCCCCTGATCGCTGGACAGAGATCTTGGCCGCGAGCTCAGTGAGTGACAAATCTGACCGTGAGCTGATTCCGGTTCTCGATAAGCTACATCGGAACTTGGGACATCCCCCAAACCATGATCTTGTTCGGATCCTGAAACACGGTCAAGCAAGTGAGCAAGCACTTCGTTTGGCCAAAGAGTTTTCGTGCGACCTGTGCCGGAGTCAGCTCAAGCCGAAGATTCCACTGCCCTCACAACCCAATCGGGTGTCAGAGTTCAATCAGCAAGTTGGATTGGACGTGAAACACCTGACTGGATGGTTGCCCAATCAGAGAGTGAAAGCACTGAACATCGTCGACACAGCAAGTAGCTTTCAGCGGATCATCCCATTTTTCGATACGGAAACATCTAGTGTGCTTCGAAAATTGTTCTCGGATCACTGGATATCATGGGCAGGAATTCCAAAAGAAATAGTGCTTGATCCAGCCAGGACCAACTTGGGAGATCCAATGGTTATTCCGGCAGAGCTTGAGGGAACTCAAATTCGACCGATCGCCGCAGGTGCACACTGGCAATTAGGTAAGTGTGAAACACATGGGGGTTGGTTTAATCGGGTCCTTGAACGGTTGTTAGATGAGTTCTCACCGACCACTAAAGAACAATGGTTAGAGTGTGTGAGTCACTGTCACATCAAGAACCAGCAACTGCAGGTGCACGGATACTCACCACATCAGTTTGTGTTTGGCAAGAATCCTCACATACCACAAGACTTGCTGAGTGAACCCCTGCAAATTGTGCCTGCCACCGCATCGTTGACCGATGAAGCATTGGCCAAGTCTCAGGCCATGAGGGTAGCGGCTCGAGTTGCTTTGACCAAGATGCAAGATGATCGTGCCCTTCGGGTTGCCTTGTTAGCTCGACCCCGAAAGACGGTAGTGTTCAATCCTGGTGATCTTGTGGCATATTGGAGAAACCAAAAGTGGGTCCAAGGTCAATTGCACCAAGGAGGTCAATGGTATGGGACCGCGGTAGTGCTGGGTCAGGTCGGACGCAACTTGGTCATCGTGCATAGGCGTCAGATCATCCGGTGTGCTCCAGAGCAGGTTCGACATGCTACTAATGAAGAGAAGTGTCTCATCACGGCTCCCGGTGCCGAACTTCTTGGAATCAAAGATATGACTGAAAAAGGTAATCTCATGAGTAAACAATACATAGACTTGTTGCCACAGTCATATCCTCCACAGGAAGGAAATGTTGAGCCTCCGAGTCCTGCTAAGCAGGAGACTGTTGTAGCGCCCCAGGATGTGCCAATGCCAGCCGATCTCGAACTCGCCGCGCCTGTGAAGCCGCCCGAAACGGAAGTGAGTCAGACCAGGTCCAGACGGAGTCATCAACCGAACCATCTGGTGAAAGCAGTTCATCCGATCAGAAATCATCCACGGTGGTCGGAACTAGAGCTCAAGGTGAGTCTGAGGCAGCGAGGGAACTGGAAGTTTCTGCGAAGTCCTCCTACGGACCTGTTCGTCGGAGAGTGGAAGGAAAAGACGGACCCATGACATTATGGCGCCCTCCTGCCCTGCGGCAGGCAGACTTCGTAGATATCATGAAAGAAGTAGTGCCTAAGTTGGTTGAAGATGCAAGCATGTCTCAGCACAAAAGACCCGCATCTCCTTCCAACGAAGAGCCTCCGACGGCCAAGCCCCGAATGACCGAAAGTTTGAGTGTAGAAGATGTGACTGACCTGTTGAGCGCTCAGGATGTTTCTTGGGAGTGTCTGATGTCGGTATACCTCAAGAAGAAAATGAGTAAAGAGATTCATCACAGTAATAATCCACCTGAGCTACAATGTAAAGTGCAGGAAGGCAAACGAATTGAATGGGAAACCATCCTGAACAAGCCAAATTCGGTGCGAGTGCATTACGGAGCTAAGGCTCGTGAGATCGAGAGAACCCAAGCACACCGTTTCATTGGCAGCAGGTTCGTGTTGACTAGGAAACCACTCGAAGAGGGCCGTGAAGTTGATCCGAATAACGTCGAGACCTTCACAGTCAAGGGACGATGGTGTCTGCAGGGTCACTTGGACCCAGATCTCTCGCATAAGGCCGAAATGGGCCTGTTGAAATCCCCGACACTTAGCCAACTAGGAAGGACTTGCCTCATGCAAACGATTGCAACCATGCAATGGCAGTTGCAGCTAGGCGATATATAAAAGGCGCATTCCTCCAGGCAGGTCCTCTGAACGATGCCTTTCGGCCGCTCTTCGCTCGACAGCCCCCAGGGGGCATCCCTGGCTTGCCAGCCGACGCTGTGATAGAAGTGCTGGGTAACGTCTATGGACAGAACGACGCCCCGGCGGCGTGGTTCAAGGAGTTCAGTTCGTTCCTCAAAGAAAACGGTTGGTATCAAAGTGTTCTAGATCCTTGCCTGTTCATGCTCCGGGATAGTCAAAACCACTTGGTTGGGGTGATGGGTGTGCACGTTGACGATACCGCCGTGGGTGGATCGGGGGACATGTTCAATCAATCCATCAAGAAACTCCGAACTAGATTTCCATACCGAAAGTGGCGGATTCAAGCTGGAGAGTTCTGTGGTGCATGGTACCATCAACTGGAGGACATGTCAATTCACATGGATATGAGTGCATTCGCTGGTAAAATACGCCCCATTAATGTTCCCAAGACTAGTAAGGCTGACGAACTGTTGTCTGACAGCCAGGTCAAAGTGTTGAGAGCGGTAAATGGAAGTCTTGGATGGCTGTCGTCTCAGTCACGACCAGATCTGTGTGCGCAAACCAGTCTTGCACAGCAAGCCTTTCCCAAGCCGAAGATCGAAGACTTTCGTATGGCAAATCAGGCTGTTCGCCGAGCAAAACAACATAATTAAACTTGGAATCACCTTCAAGGCAATCCGCCCCAGGAACTTGACGTTGGTTTGTCACAGCGATGCTGCTTTTGCGAATAGAGGAAATCATACACAAGCTGGGTACATCATTGGTTTCACTGATAAGTCCTTGCAAGAAGGTCATGAATCCCCTTGGTGTCCAGCGTCATGGAAAAGCTTCAAATTGCAACGTGCAGTGAGCAGCACCATGTCAGCAGAAAGTCAAGCTTTGGCAATTGCCACTGGAACAACCGAGTGGATCTTGTTGTTGCTGGCTGAGATTTTTGATGGGCCACTTGACGTTCGAACATGCCGAGACGTCCTGAAAAGGCGCAGGCCTATCGTTGTGACGGATTGTAAAAGCCTGTATGATCATTTGCAATTTGCAATCTCCTTCTTCCCCCACGTCAATTGAGGACAGACGGACCAGTATCGATGTAGTGATCATCCGTGAAAGCTGTAGATCCATGTCCGCTCATGTTCGATGGGTACCCACAAATCGCATGCTTGCCGACACTCTTACAAAGAATGATGGTGACCCAGTTGACCTTCTCCGGTCATGCATGAAAAGATCCATGTACCAGATCTCCCCCGAAGAAACTGTTTTGAAGCATCAAGCACTCGAGAAAGAGCATCGTAAACAGCTTCAACTCGCTCGATCCGGTAAGAATGCCAACCACTCTCACGAAGATGAGGAAAACGCCTGTCATGAAGCATCACTGTAAGCAGTGATTGAGTGTGCATGTTTTTTTCTGTGTTTAATTCACTTTTTGTTAGAGCTTGCCGGTGAAGCTCGTTCGATAGTGCCAGTATACAGATGCGTATAATCTATGGGTTGATTGCACTGCAGCTGTTTTCTGGCTTGGAAGGAGCGAACGCCGCTCCTGTCACGACTGAGGTCCTTTCGAGATTTTGTTGGCAGTTTCCTCCTGGCCAAATGGCTGGTTCGTCGTCGCAATTGTCTGCAGCCACTAAGGATTTGCTGGCTAAGGTGAAAGATGAGGGCTCAGTACATGTGCTGCTGAATGAGCTGATTCAATATGAGCATGGAGAGTTTGAGCTGGTGTCCGAATCCGGTTATCAGCATGGAGGGTCTATGAACGATTCATCCAAGCGCCGGTTGAACCCTTCTCCAAGCCGATCTCCGGAGCTTTCTCAGCTTCCTTTGGCAAAGGCCAAGGCCAAGTCATCCGGTGTGACTCGTCAGCTGGAGTTGCCCCAGGGAGTGGTGTCCTTGCAGCATTGGGGCCAGACCCTCATTGAGTGTGGAAAGCTGTCCAAGCGTGGAATGAGCTATGAAGAGTTGGCCACATCCTCCGATACCGAGCTCATCAACTACACTCGATGGTTGATTGGCCAAAAGGATCGCACGAATTTGTCAGCTCCGGTCAAAGACCTTGTGATGTATCTTTCAGCTCACGCTGAGGCATTCGAGTCGGCTGAGGATCGCTTTCCAAACTCGACCGTGCCTCGCCGGTTCAAGTCCTGAAAAGCTGGTGATGTTGCGACGGCAGTGAGATGGCTGCCGAAAAGACTGCTCACGAAGTTTCCAACCTTAGATGGCTATGATCCTTCGGATAAGGATGACGATCCATGGAGCTTCTTTAAATTTTAGAAGTTATAGCAGTCTTGATGTCCACCCGTGACACGACAGGGACCTTCATGCTCAGGCCGTGGAAAGAAGAGCCCACTTGTAGCCCTTAGGTGAGGGTTCGTGACTCCGCAATATATATATATATATCCTATACCATACACTAGAAAGCTGACTTGCATTGCACTTGTATGGAAAATTGTTGAGGCTTGCAGAGGCTTGAATCAATTGGCTCTTCTTGCATCAACGCTACGATGCACATGTCGTGTTGACGTTGAGAAAGTTCAGAAAATGATCTGGACTTGCAGCAGTCCATTGTATGCTTGCTGCATTGTCTTCAGACCCTTGAAAGGTATGTCGGTATGTCCCTCAACATGCTGAGCTTGATCTATTGATCCACAAAAACACAATCCATAATCAAAGCACTGCCCAGGCAAACAGACCTCACACGGGTCAAAGTGCTTGTGGAGCAAATACCTGTCCAAGGTTCACAACTCTTTGCTGCGCAGCTTTGGCTTTCGCTTGAGGCCACGACAATTTCCCAGTGTGCATGGCCACCTGGAGGCCATGCAGTGGCCAAGAGTCGCCAAAAGAGTGGCTCAAAGCTAAGAGCCAAGAGTCAAGAAACACCCGTTTGATCCAGAGCGTTCCCGTGCGACCACTTGTACTGAGAGCTGGACGAGAGAAGAGGAACAGGCAGTGTCAAGGGTCATACTTGCGCCCTGAACAAGCACTATAACACCAGCACTGGAACTGCATGGAACTACACTGCTGGAACAGAAGTCACAGCTGGCAACACTCATTGTAAGAATACTTTTGACTTCATTGTAACACCAGGCTTTCAACATAGTTGTTGACATCAATTAAGTGACCAACATCGCCAACATCTAAGTGTTAACAGCAGTGCGAATTGACGGCCGACATGGCCTTCAAGTTCATGCAGTAGTTGAATCGATTGGATGTAATGGCATTGGCTCCGCTGGACGCTGCGAATCCACCCGCAATGTCCTGGCGACGGGTGGGAACACCGGAGCGGAACAGCTTTCGCCAAACAAATCGTTGACCTCAGGACATGAACTCAAGAAAATCATGACAAACCGCTGTTCCACTTGCGCCTTTGGGAGGCTGTTCCACTCATTCTTGTCCAGACCGACGAAAACGCCGATTTGGGCTGGCTTGGCCTCCCAACACTCAAGCTTGAGGCTTTGCCTTGCATGCGGCTTGCGACTTCCGGTCCTGCAGCATCTTCTTTGTCCAACCAGCGCCCTGCAGCGAGATGTAGGATACCTGTGCACATCCAACTGGCAGCAGTCAAGCTTGTTAAGCTGAATCTACTAGAGAACAACTGCTTCTCTTGAGCACCTCCAAGACTTGACGCTGCGTTGGATCCATACCTTCCACCATGAATGGAGTAAAGGAACAACGAGAATGTTCCGCTCTCGCTCGCTTTGCGAGCCCTGCACCTCGCGCTTCTGCTGGAGAGATGTCAAAGAACTTGCAGTCAAAGAGTTCAATACCTGAACGCTACACCGGCGTTTCCCGGTGTGTCTCCACCAACTGTCTTCCCGCGGGACCTCAGACCCATTGCGGCTGCGCACCGTCTGAAAAGCCACCGTGGCAAGTGTATGAGAGTCCAGAAGTCTGGTCAGCATCCGGATCATAATATGTATCGCAGTCCCATCTCTGCTGAGGGTGCCTGCGCACAAAAAACAAGAAGAACGGAGTAGGGACAAACATGAACCACACTTGGGTGACACCCAAGGCTTTTTGCAGGTAATTGAGTACGTCTGCCTAGTAATCGTATCCCAACCAGCTTTCGCGTAGGCCACCCAGGCTTTCCATGGCTCATCCACACCAAAAGCATATCTTTCCCCCATTGCAACAACCTCCAAACGCAAATCATGCCAAAACATTGATTAACAGAAAAGGCTGACCACCGTGAAACACTCTCTGAGCAGCCAACTGGGATGGAGTCTGTCTTTGGCTGAGGAGGTCCCGAGACCGTCTGAGGAAGCACCAAGTGTTGCAACCATTTTCGACTCACTCACTGAGGTGGTGGCCCCTGTCAGGAAAGTCAGATCACCCGTGATGTTGTCTATGACCTTGTACTCTTGCGCAAAATAAAAGCCATTCTACCCAACAAAAATCTGCACTGATACAGATTTGGTACGAGCCCAGATGTATTGAATCAAAGACTGGAAGAAACACAGTGATCCATCGGAAAACCAGCAAGGAGCCACATGCGCTGAACTCCATGAAAAGGATTGAGGCCAGGACATACTCACGAGGAGCATCAAGGAAAAAAGCTGAGAGGGAAAGAGCCTTTCCTTCAGACTGGTGTGAAAACTTGTACCTGCGCAGTCCGTGAACGCGATTGTGGCTGGTACAGAAGAACCAGAACAGCCCAGAAACCATTGTGGCACCCAGTGATTGTAGTGGCAAGGGAATAAATCCTGCACTACAACGGTACCTTATGGATCGAATTCTAGGTCGTGCAGGAGTTCTTTCACCAGTACGGGTGCCTTCATGGCTTTATTGTGCCTTGAAGAGGGCCAAATGTGTGAACAGTCAGTCAACCCGTTTGTCTTCCAGCCTGTCCATGCAGAAGACGCAAAGCATTCCAGGATTGATGTTTAGCTGCGGCCTGAGAAGCCCGAGCCTAACTCTCCTTGAAACCTCACCAAATATCGGAGATCAATGAATCATGTATGTGGCCCAAAAGCCAACAGTGATCAGCAAACAAACGCCACCAATTGCTGATCTTGGAAGATGTCACTCAACTTCCTCAAAGCAACCCATTCTGCAACCGATTCTTCCTCTGAGGCGTGGGCTTAATAGGATCCGAGTCAGTGATGGCTTTCGGAGTCAGTGTTAAAGTCGTCGCTCCGGGCCTCACACGAAAGACATCCAATGAGACCTGTCATCAAAAGGTCTTGTTGAAACACAAAGAATTAACATTTCGACCCAACCGGAGTCTGGCAGAACCAAGTCCCACACCCAGCATTGACCAGGATCATCAGCTTAGAGCGCCACCTCGACAAACAAATCCATGTATTCGAGAGATCCCAAGCCGAATACTGATCATTGAGTTGCCAGCATCATCGAAAGGAAGTTTGCAGCTTCTTCATTGTCAATCTGAGGTGGGGAGAACATATCCTCCGCTGCGCACTGGAGTATACAGGAGCATGATGAGCTGACGAACAGGTCATGCTATCAAGCCCATCATCTATCTACTTGGTTGGCTATGGCTGGCCATGCAAACATACTGCCACATGTTCTTAAACACAAACCTCTCCAAGATAGCAGACTACATTGCGGCCAATCCCGCATCCACATCCCCGATCTGGGAAAAATGGGCCCACTAATCTTGGCAAACCAAGAAGACCCAGGCTTCTACTTTCTTCAAAGGGCTTCCAACGCCCCTCCAACTGATGAGTCCACTTTGTTTGACATAGAGCTCAAAATTTTGTCGTGTAGAAGGAAGCCTGATGATCTTGTGCCGATGATGTGTTTCAGTGTGTCGCTACCGACCCAAAAAAGGCCCCAGGCTTCTCCTCGTCACTCTCATCCACAAAGGGCAGCGACATCATTGTACCTGCAAAGATGCAGAGCATATCAGTGTGCACGGCCGCCTGCATCTGTGATCTCGGCGCACTTGTGCGGCTGTAAATGTCAAAACCCAGCTCTGGTTCCACGAAAGGTCTTATCAGCGTTCCCACCTGCCCAGAATCCGCTGCTTGAGAAAATGTCATTAAAGTTCTTCTTCCAAACTTCTGAAGGAAAAAAATGAAAAAACTGGCAGTGGCTAAACACCCAAAAATGGTCATATCCTGATTCTTGTTTTAGCCAAAAATGGATCACATGACACATCTTGTGTTCCTTTTTTGAGCGCTCTACTGTCTCAATGGCATCTTCAAAGGTCTTCAACGGAGACCTCATGCAGGGAAAGCAAACGAAAACACCTGGAGAAGCCCCCGTAAATAACTTAAGTTTCCCTAAAGATCTAGGAACCAAATGAAGAGTGTGAGCGCTATCCTGCGTCCGTGCTAGTAGCGTACTTACTAATAAGGTAGGTTAGTACCTTAATTAAGTGGGGAGCGACCTTGGGTGCCCCAGGCTCCCTGAGAAAAGACCTCCGGGGCCCCAGGCTCCCTGAGAAAATCAGCAGTGTCGCTGCTGTCCAGGTCCACAGAGAGGGTTTTGCCTTTCCCTTCCTGGCCAATTCGTGACACACCCAACTGCTTGTTAGCAAATGGCTATGCAGGTATGCAACAAAAGACTAAGACCATGCCTGGCCCAAATATCCACTTTCTAGCTCAGCTGCAAGTCTGGTAAATGCTCCCTCTGAAACACACCTGCCCATCTGAAGCACAGGCCAAGCACCGCTAAAAGAAGAACACAAAGTCGTGCCTGTCTGCTGTCCGCACCAATTCATTCAAGTCCTCTGGATCTATGAAGAGCTTGCACACAGCGTACCTGAATTGAACTTCTTCTCCCAAAATCTCTAGTTCCATTCAGAACTCGGTCACTCTACTTCCCAAAACTTCCCAAAAAAGAAGAAGAACGTACAATATACACACGTCACCCAACGAGGAGACACCTCCCGACTCCGCGCGTCGTGCGATGACAACGACCGCGTACCCTTGATCCGACAGCCGCTCCGTCAGCTCTGCTCCCATGACGCCAGTGTCCGACCTCGTTGGACCAGACAGGTCACTGAAGCAGAACAGCTACAGGCCCAACTGGAACTGCCAACTGGGTTGCATGGCGCTGGCCCCAAGGTGATGTCGTAGTCTTGAAGATCTTCAGCTGTTAAAGGCCTAGGCGAGGCATGGCGAGGCTGTCGTGGCAGGTCGCTGAGTCGCTGAGTCGCTGAGTCGAACATATCACTTTTTGCTGCCTGAGGGAGGACTCTGCAGCAGCGACCTGAGCTCAGCCCGGCCCGCTTCTTCGCTTCACGCGTTCATTCCAACAGGTCCACCGTTCTGTCCATGAAAACAAGAAGAGAGCGTCAGAACCTACTTACATTGGAGTCCCAACAATGTCAGAAGCCTTCTTAGATCCCAAACGATGTCTGCATTGAACGTTGCGACGGTCCATTCACCCTTCTCTTCGTTGAACTCGATCAGCTGGCCCTGCCATCGGGACTCCGATAGAAGCTCTGTTAGCTGTTAGATGTACTCTCCGCTATTTTACTCAGGTTCTAAGTAAAAATAGGCAAGTGTACACTTGATTACAATCACAGACATGTAATATTATACACCTATACTGCCTATACTGTATACTTGTTTTGTTCCTGGATTCAATTTCATTATTCGATTCCACTTCTTCCATTTTGCTCAGGCTTCTTTGTGCGTCTGCAGCCGGCCACCTGCTGCCCATTGACGTCTTTCGGCCCAGCGGCCACGCCATCTTTTCGCCATCGATCGGGTGTGTCGAGCGCCTCACACGAGCAGCCGCCTGTAACAAACCCGACATGAGAATCAAACTAGTATATTTCCTCAGGATCCATCCTTGACACCTGTGATCTCCACCAACTGCCCACGCCTGGCAAGGTTATTCTGTGACTATATACACGCAATGACCAGGACCTGGTTACTTTTCACATGACTCATGACCGAGGCAAGCGGAGAGCCAGGCTCACGCAAGTGCAGAGGGCATCACTCCATGTGTCCGTGCGTGGACCCGTCGCCGGTGTTGTCGATTGGCTCAAGGTGATTCTACGGTCAGTTGGCTTAGGGGGGTATATATAGGTCTTGCGGAGGTGGAAACGTGGGGGGGCACGTCCCTTGTTCTCTGCCACACTTCTTGTGCATACAACAAACTATTAAGGAAAAGGATCAAGCTGGAAATAGCAATTGGGCAATGCTCTTGGCAGCGCTCCACACTCAATGAGCTCCTCACCTCACTCAACCTGATGCAACACGTAGATAGTGCCGTCGCAGCTCTGTTTTTTCCCGTTTGACTTGGTCTTGCATGGTTGGGACAATCCCCATCCATACACTCGGAAAACTGCAGTCTCACCACATGGAAGCAGGACTAATGGCTGTCATGCAAATCACGCATTGGTCATGCTATGAAGAAAAGCCAGGTGGTCCATCCATGCAGCTGGACTGGAACAATCACTGCTGCTCTGAAGCAACTGTACAAATTGTAGCAACTTTGCTGCTTTTTCAGAGATTGATTGCCAGGGAGCAGCTAAGGTCGCGCCCCTGCGAAGGTGTGTACAAAATTTCTCAATCCTTTCATCTATGTACAGAAAGGATGCAAGCATCAAATGTCCAGCTCTTTCATGAGCTCCTGCGGATTGTCGGGCTCGGAATTCAAGGGACATGCAAAAAGAGCAACATGTGGGACAACAAACAATATGCCACAAAAAGCTGAAATCACCGAAAGGAATGAACAAAGGCAGGTCATGGCAGGTCTCAAGAACAAACAAAGTGCTCCTCCAGATTTCTCGCTTTGAACGGAGAATCAAAAGAGACACTCAGTCTTCCAAAGGCCGACTTCTCCATCTGAGACATGGCCGACCAAGAAAACGACGGTCGACCGTCACTCTCTGTCTTCTCTAGGCTTCTCTTTCTCTTTTTTGGAGAGCAGTGATGGGTAAGTAGGAGCAATTGAAAGCAACTAGACTGGGACCCAGAAGAACTCAGGTTTCCTCGTCCGAGGACGGGAAGTCGCTTGATTGACGAATCCCTGTTAAAGGCGCATCGGGATCAATTACAAGACCTCCAATTCGGAAAGGGAACGGAGCCTCCCGACGCTGTTTATCTTCTTGTTCTTCCATCTGCTTCAACCTGCGCAATTGAACGACTGCTGGTTCTTGCTGTCTATATATATATAATGATATTCTGCATGAAATGACTCGTTCAATGCCTTCCCAAGTTGTTCAGGATTCGGTCAATGGTTGCCAAGGACGCACGGATGATGAGCTTTTCACCATACCTTCGCAAAGCTCAAGTGCTTCAAAAACTGATCCGAAAACGAAGCTTCTGATTCATCTATTGTTGAGTTCAGGTCTGCACGTTCTCTATTTATTGGTCTCCACTCACACATGTGGCAGGGTTCAGCAATCTTTCTGCAGATCCAGCACAACTTGATTTGTGGGAGGGACAAAGCCAAAAACCTGTCAAAAACGAGCTACTACCTGTGTTCTCAGTGTGTTGCCACCCTCCCCCGAAAGGTAAATAAAGGCTTCACCAACACCATCATAGCACAAAGGACTTTTGGACAGGGCATCAGGCTGTGATAATGCTAGCGGTCACACACCCTGAGAGAGTCAACTCACTTGGACATGTTCGTGCTTCTTCATGACCGAACCGAACCATGACCTCTGCAGATGCGAACCTCACGCGCAAAGCATTGCGTTGATTTCGAGGAAGTAGCTCGAACCTCGGTCAATGCGGTTATCGCAACAATGCAGAAGGGGTGGTTCCCGACCACAAAGACACCCTCTCCTGCTGTTTCTCATGGAACGAAGAAGCGTTCCCTTCTGATCCGAACACGCTCAGATTTTCCATTCGCTCGGATGAAGCGCTCCACCGTGTTCGGCAAGCAAAATTCCAGTGAACAAGCCTACAACCGTCCATCTTGCGATGTGGCAATGTAGGGATGTATCTCTGATATGTTTGTTGAGTTCAGCACTAGTCACCAGTCCACTATTGGCATGTATCCATGAAGGGACACTTGTCAATGCTTGTTGTGCAGGGTGTTGTCTGCGAAGGTTTCCCGGTTTCACCTCAAAAAGTGAACCAGGTGTGACTACGATTGACAGGGCATTCGCTGATGGGTTGGGGGGTCGATAAAACAAATTATATGACAGCTAGGTTGGAGGCCATCGCTACTGAGTTGGAGGCCATCGCTACTAGGTTGGAGGCCACCGCTACTAGGTTGGAGGCCATCTCTAGTGGGTTGGAGGCCATCGCTGCTAGGTTGGAGGCCAGCCATCTCTAGTGGGTTGGAGGCCATCGCTACTAGGTTGGAGCTCATCGCTACTAGGTTGGAGGCTACTAGGTTGGAGTAGTAGGTTGGAGGCCATCGCTACTATGTTGGAGGCCATCCCTAGTAGGTCGGAGGCCATCGCTACTAGGTTGGAGCTCATCGCTAGTAGGTTGGAGGCCATCGCTACGAGGTTGGAGGCCATCCCTAGTAGGTTGGAGGCCATCCCTACTAAGGACTAGGTTGGAGCTCATCGCTAGTAGGTTGGAGGCCATCGCTACTCGGTTGGAGGCCATCGCTACTAGGTTGGAGGCCATCGCTACTAGGTTGGAGCTCATTGCTAGCAGGTTGGAGGCCATCGCTATTAGGTTGGAGCTCATTGCTACTAGGTTGGAGCTCATCGCTAGTAGGTTGGAGGCCATCCCTACTAGGTTGGAGGCCATCGCTACTAGGTTGGAGACCATCGCTACTAGGTTGGAGACCATCGCTAGTAGGGAAGTGCCCAAATTGCTCTGGTGTTTCTTACAGCCAGTCACTCTGTGCTGAGATGTCCACATTTGCCGGTCACGGATCAAGGCCTCACAAGAGGACAAGAGATTGTTCATCATACTTGTCTTTTAAGTGAAACCACGGAAACCGCAAAGCTCGTGATCTTTAACTCCCCAAGAACCAAATGCAAAATGGCACTGTGGCCTACAAACACGTAGGATTCTTCTATTTGCTCAGGGAAATGTTTCCATGCAATAGCCAAATCCAGTTGGGAAGGTGGCACATGTTCTTAACTCCTAAACTACGGCAGCAAACCCTGCACCATGCCCGCATGGCTGTCTATTACGCAGGTGTAGCATACTTTCAGTCCACCTCATCCTCCTGTATGGTCGTCGGATATGCATCCTGCAAGTCCTGCAACGGGGAAAAATCCTGCAATCTCTTGTGTCCAACAATGAAAGTGTCGAAAACAAATCCAACCTGCACAATTCCACGAAGACAAATGAGCGCACGCCGCTCGCTAACCCTCAGAAGACATAGAAGCAGAACCACTTCTCTGGCTTTATCAGGCTTTAAGGTAGCCACTCACCAGTTGCCTGCTTGATATCAAGCTGCTTTAGAGCCCTGTAGACCTGTCAAGTCCATGAAATCAAAGAAGCCAATACCTTTGCAGTCACGTTGGGTTTAGGTGCCTGCTGCTCGTCTGCATCTTCATCCATGTCCAAATCATCTGGTTGCACCACCGCTAGCCTTCGTCACGAACACAGGCTGAGTTCACAAGATTCCAAACCAGAATAATTGTGCGAAAGAACAAAGTACAACAAATTCCTGCAAATGACAGAATGACCTTCGGCGCCCTTCCAGGCCCCTTCGGCCTCAAGAACATCATCATCTCGCCAGTAAAGCGATCTCGGTAGAGGGGGAAGACTCCCTGGCGGTTCGGCCGAGCCACTGCGGCAGCGCCCTTTGGCGTCAGCAGTTGTCAGGTGGCAGGCCTCTTTGGGAACTTCCAGCTCCTCCAAAATGCGCTTCTTCACCTGGGTCGTTTCGGTGAAACCATGGCCGCAACCCAAGACTCCACCACAAACGTCAATGAAGCAACCCGATGTCCGTCGTTTTCAATAGCAGAACATCGCATCTCCTGTCGAGCACCTCGGCAAATGGACTGTCTTCTAACAGCTGCCCGGTGGAGAAGGTCACAAAGTCCTGCCATCGGCCAACACTCAAACATTACCATCAGAATGAAGAGCTTTGGAGGCGGGAGTCCTGCGTATTCCGTTCCATACTGAAACCATAGAGCATCAGAAGTTGGGCATTTGATTTCCGGCCTTACAACGACTGAACTGCCCCGCGGAACCTCACTCTTTAGAGTGGTTCAACTTCGTTGCTAAGTCCAAGATCTTGGCCGTAAGAGATATAGATTTGTTCGTACTTGTTGATATATCTGGCACAGGATTCACAAGAAACGACTCGAGACCTCACAAAGCGCAGCAAGGCACTGGCCTGTCTGCCCTGACAACAACAGAACGCTCAGGCTCTGAAACACCGGGGATACTCGCCCCTTCTGAGACCTCAGTCTTCAAGTGGGAATTCACATAACTGTGATTCATGGTTAACCACATGACCAAATTATATATGTAATTGATTTCACGTTTCGACCGCGTGGAGAAAGGCGCGTGGAGACACATCCAAGGGTTCTGTCGGAGTGTTAAGTTCACGCTATGACGAGGAGTGTCTCGGAGTATCGCAAGTATCGGCAATTCTTGCAGGGTGCCACAGTTTGACTGGTTTCAAAGGGCCTCTTGAGGCTCATGGCAGGAAACTAGTTTTTAAAAAGCAATCCGTCTTTGTCTCTTGCACAGAAAAGAACAACCGAGATGGAGCCTGAACATTCCGGGGATTCCATGCAACCAAATCGCCCATATGATATAGACCAGCAAACGTTGCTTTAAACAAAGTAACGGTTGTCCCCCAGAGCGATCAGCCGCGACAAGCGTATCGATTTGAGGTGCCCACTCCACGGATCCGTGATTCGGAATTGGGATTATGGTTGATCAGATCGATGTAGGGGACCAAAGCCACGATGTCTTCCGCGTCCAGGTCGTCCTCCAAAAACAAGCTGAAGCGAGCGTCATTAAAGAAGGGGTCCAAGCGCAACTGTGTTTTGTGTTCACCGCCAGACATCGAACAACAAGATTTGAACATGACATGTGTTGCGCTAGCTCATGACAGACACAAGAAACCGCTCCGGGAAATCAAGACGAACTGCTCGACTGAAGAGGACAGAATACGCCCAAACCTGTCATGCGGATGCAGCAAGTTGAGGTGGGACACGGCAAGGCCGTTTGTTTCCACGTTTCTTGGCCATTGGAAGCCGTGAGCAATAAGCAGTCGGCCAATAGTTTGCCAAAATAGTTTGTCAACACCTTGTGAATATCTTGCGCACCTCCTGACCGTTTACAAAAATTCTAAGCGCTACACCTGCCTATGGATCATTGAAACTCTTCACAACAAATAAGTTACACGTTCATCACAAGCATCCTCAGTGCCACACCTACTTACGGCACTTAACGGATACAGACCTTGACTTGAATATCGTATAGATAGGTAGATAGATAAATAGATAGAAAGATAGGTAGGTATGCTTGTATGTACGTATGTACGTATGCAATTGTTCTATCTATCTATCTATCTATACCAGGCCAGACCTGAACCACCGAGTGAGAACACCTCCTCTTGAAGAAAGTCGCACTTGTAGAGAAACATCTTTCAGGCCTGGAGGATCCGATGCCCGTTTCATACCCGTTTCACTCCCTTTTCTGAACGAGGCATGAAAAGAGCAGAAAAAGGATATGACAAGGGCAAGGAAAGGGCATGAAAGAGTATGAAAAGGGTATGAAAGGGGTATGAACAGGGCATGAAAAGGGAATGAAAAGGGCATGGGGTTTGAAAAGGGTATGAAAAGAACACGCAAGAAAAGGGTATGAAAAGGACATGAAAAAGGCATGTGGTATGAAAAGGATATGAAAAGCGTATGAGAAGGGCGTGGGACATGAAGAGAGTATGACAAGGGTTTGAAAAGGGTATGGCCAAGGCATGAAAAGAGCATGGGTGTTGAACAGTGTACGAAAAGGGTATGACAAGGGTGTAAAAAGTTGCTTACGGAAAAAAAATATATATATATATATATGGAAATAACAAAAGGCACGAAAAGGGCATGGGATATGAAGAGGACATGAGAAGTTGCGAAAGGGACATGGTATATGAATAGAAATGAAAAGGGTATGAACAGGGCGTGAAAAGGCTACGAAAAGGCTACGGAGAGGGCATGAACAGGACATGAAAAGGGTATGAAAGGGTATGAAAACGGTATGAAAGGATATGAAAAGGGTATGAAGGGATATGAAAAGGCTATGAAATCGATATGAAAGGTATGAAAAAGGTCTGAAAAGGGGAAAGGGTATGAAAAGAACATGAAAAAGGTAGGAAAAGGTGCTGAAAAGCATGCGAAAAGGCTATGAAAAAGGTATGTAAAGGGTATGGAAAGGGTACGAAAAGGCTATGAAAAGGTTGCGACAAGGGTGCGCATAGGGTTACGCGTACGGTGCGCGAATAAGAACGTGGTTTTGCTTTTGAAGCCACTGAGGATGAGCTCGAGGGGGCCGGGCCAGTGCTGGCATTCCCCTCCATTGTCACCCTCGCATCCCTTTTCCCTTGATCAAAAAGCATAGCATGGCTGCTTCTCCACGAACTAAACACTTTGCAGAAGCCTCAGATTCTCTCCTCCGGCACGGGTGGACGGGCATGAACAGGGCTGTGGGTGGATTATGGAGGGGCACAATACGGGAGGGTGGACGGGAGCTGGCTAGAATGACTATATGTCCACCACACCTGCCCTAGAAGCACAAGACAATATAATGAAAAGGGCATGAAAAGGGCATGAAAAGGTATGAAAATGGTACAAAAAGGTTATGACAAGGGTATGGACCCAAGTACCGTAAGTAGGTGTGGAACTTAGGATACTTGTACACAGAATATAGGCTACTTGTGACAAGTTAATTACTTATACAGTAAGTTACTTATGAACTACTTGCGAACGACTTAAAACTGATGCTGAGATAGACACATAGTTTTCGTACACGAAGGCATCCTCCGGAAAGGTGTCGGGGAACTTCGACATAATCGTTTCCTGCACCACGGAGTTGTCAGCATGCCAGCATGTGAGCTACCTCCATGTCATCCCTTTTGGTCAGCAAAACTAGGCGGTGCCTAGCTTCTATGGCTTTTTTACTGTCTCCAGAAGGGACTTACACACTATGCACTGTCCTGAATGTTCGTGAATTCCGCCTTGATCTGGTCCTGTAGATAGTAGGACCTCATTGCACATCGTCACAAGTACTGTTGACTGATCTGGTCCTCCGGGTGCTGAACATATTCCTCAAAGGGCTGCCAGCAAGCAGGGTGTCCAGTTCCTGCAAGTGATTGGTACTTCCACGTACTTCCAACAACGCCAATTTGCAGGCTTCGTGTCGTGGCAGGAAAGATACGACATCCGTCCTGTCCCGCAGCTTCGTGTTTGTGTGTCGTGCCTTTTTCACACCTCCCCCTGGTCCTGTCGATCCCAAGCAAAGGACGCACCAATCCTGCGCCAATCCCATCTCAGGCCGCTCGGCCGCCGCTCCACGCCCACTGAGATGGAGGCTCATCAGTTGAAGGTAGAACTGCGATATAAGGCGCCCAAAATGAGTCCTCCTGGAATATCTCAAGGGGTCTGAGACTGCCTTTCGGTTCGCCTAAAGGCCGAACGAACGAGGTCAGCCACTGGTTTTTGAGTCTCTTTCAGTTTGCGTCCTTTGCCACAAACTTTTCATAGATGAGCTGCAGTGCAATGGCTGCATATTCGCCTGACCGAAAACAGCAGCTCGTGATCCATTCCCTGCAGGCAACAGGTGCTGACCGAACTGTTTTGAGGCCAGCTCTCATATTGGTTCCTATGCAATCCACGCCAAAGACATTTCTGGAAGTGTCCTGCAACGCAGTTTCCACAACTCGGAAGCTCCCTCTGAGATCAAAAAACAAACCTGGCATATCCTGGCATCATGCTCTCTAGCATCCCCTTAGGCCCGGTGTCCTTGGTCAGAAGGAGGTTGTACCTCGGCTTCGAGTCTCCAGTGACCGGGTCTCCTAGCTGCAAAAAAGGCCAGATCCCCACCGTCCGCGTCCGCGTTTTGAAGGGCTCCACTTTCGATTCGATCTTCAAGCCTTGGCCTTCCGCCTTCCCTCCAACATAAAAGGTTTCGTCGAGAGAATAAAGTTCAATCTGAGAGCAAACCCACTGAGGAGGGCACGGGACCTGCGCCAGGTCTTCATAGCACTCTACATCCTGACAGTGAAGAAGGTCACACAAACGAGATAGGACCTCATTTGACCTCTCATTGTCCTTGGTAACAAAATGACCAGAAGCAAAAACGCGTTTTCGCATGAATGGATGTGAGAAGGCCCAGACGCGGCGCGCAACCAGCCCACGTCCTGAGAAACACAAGCGGTTTGGAGTCCTGAACCCTCCAATGTCAAGAATGCTTCCACTTCAAATGCTTATCATAAAAATAGAAGCTATAAACTATGCATGCTAATTCTGCAACACTTAAAATGCAGCAGGCAGCCGGTCCTGAAACTTCATTCTCAGTCTGCTCTCGTGTTTCCACTGCCATGGAAACACCGGAGGACTGGCGTAGAACCACGCGGCAGGCGGTTCGACGAAGACTGCACGTTGCTTCTTTTGCGAGTGCAAGAAAAGCAAGAACAAACTTGACACTTGCATGTGATTTGTTAAAGTTCAAATGCAAGACAGGCAAAGAGAGCAGGTCGGCCCCAGTCAGCAGATTCTGACACCCACACACCGTTCTCTCCCTGAAGGAAACCGAAAGAAAAGAAAAATACATCGTGAAACACATCGTTCTGCCAAAAACGTCGAGCCGTCTGCCAATACACTCAACCACAATTCAACCGGGACCCACACCAACCACTTCTCAAGCTGCGCATTCTCCTCCAGCTTCTTCCTCTTCATGGTTCCCCGGCCTGAGAGCGAAAAGGTTCGTCTGACGTTCGTTCGTCGGCCTTGGCCTCAACAAGCGAACGTGCGTGCCACGCGGGGCACCTTTCAGCCATCTCTTGTTGCGGCCAGGTTTGGCCTTCGCGGCCCTGCAATCAGTTGTGAGACTTTCTTGAAACATGATATATCTGCTGCAAGAACCACATGCAACCCAACAGGCTCAATATGGCTCAATGCACAAGTCTGCCAACTTCAGTCCGTCAATGTGCTTTTCACCAAGAAAAAGAAGTTTCTGGGTCGCAACAACTGGAGAAACTCCGGGTCGCCAGGCACAAGTTCGAGACCTTCCGTGGCAATGGCTTCGCCCGTGAGCGACCGCCTCCCATCTTCCAGGCCCTGCCGCGGGAGCGAGACGCACGGCACGTCGCGACCGAAACCACAGAGGTCCGTTCGAAGAAAGCCCGTTCGTTCGAAACGAGAGGAGCCGTGAGTGAAAACGGTCCAAGAACTGCACAAAAAGCTGAGACCGAAGGATCAACTTGAAAGTATCCAAGTCAACTGAACTGGCTGTCCATGGCCCAACCGACTGAGTTTTGCCGTGTGCCCCATACGGCATTCGATCAAGCGATCGAAGCTCTGTCCCAAGCCTCTGCGCCCGGCATTCGATCAATCCTGAACTCATGCGGGACTGGGCAAAAGCTGCTCGCTCGAAGGAAAGACTCATCCCTTTTTTCAGCTGCTTCCCAAGACTCGTCCCTCTTTTTTCAGTGTACACAAGCCTTGGTCTGGCGCGGTAAGCAAAGATCACACCTGGCGAAATAGTTCCACGCAGAACATCTAGTTTTGCCCAGTGGACGTTTGCCGCTGAGCCTCTGCCAGAACAAAATTTATTCACTATACATGCCAAGATCAGCAGTCAGCAGTCCATTGTGTTGACCGCCGGTCTAACCATCAATCTCTTTCTTGCCAGGTTGATCTACCTGGGTCTCCACTGTACCGTGTCCGGAACTTCCTGTCTCTGGGTAGACCACGTTCCTTGGGAAGCGCAGTCAACGAAAAACAAAGCTTCATAGCTTGTTTCCCAATCTCGCCTGCTTCGACTCGTCACTTTCCCGGCAACCAAGGCAGCGGTTGAAGGTATTCCAGGTCCGCTGAAGCAAGCTGGTTCGCTTCGAAGTCCACAAAGCATTGGCTAAGGCTGGACTTTGCATGCTTCCCAGTAAGGTGGGTAAACGTTGGCAGGTGGGGACCTTACTAGCGGCATTTTCAACTTCAACGTTGTGCAAGAAGGACCCCAAGGCACCAAAGTATCCTTCGTGTTCCAAAAAGAGAGCATGCAATTGCTTTCCTGCAAGGCCAGCCCCACTGACACGGCGCATATTGGTTGCAATGGCTTGTCGGGCGACTTGGTTCTGTCTCAAAAAGTTCCCCGTGAACACGATTCGAGAAATGGAGTGCAATTTGGAATTGAGAAAGGCAATCTGGCAAATGTTTTGTGAAATCATCGTGATGAGGGCATTGAGCACTGCTGCGTCATCATGAGCTTGGCCGTTTCTGCCAGCTTTGGCAAAAAAGGATGCCACTAAGGTACCAGGAAGTTTCCTGCCTCCTGTCAATTCATAGTCCCCACCGTAGATGTCTTCAACCAATAGGTTCAACTTGGATGAATCTCCAGCGACAGCCAAACAGCTGGCTTCTGAAAACTCCTTGCAGTCTGGGCACAACAGGTTGCAAAGCCCCCAAAACGTCCCTCCACCTAAAGCAGATCCACTGATTCGCTCGAAGCGGTCAGTGCCATCCACTTTAACAATGCTGACCCCGGAGCCAATGTTCACTAGAATGAATGGGAACAAAGAATTCGCGGAGTCTAAGAAGTGACATTCGGACTCAAAATTGGGAGACTTGGGCGGTTCATCGCTGAGCCAGCAGACTTCATCTGAGATCGGTCTTCTTAGCAGCCATGAAATCCCTTTCACCACCACCCCAAGTTCATCCACCGGCTTGAGGTTGATCCCAAGACGTTCCGAAAAAAGCCTGGAATATTTGTAAGCACCTCCTCCGGTTGTATAAATCTCATCAATCTGGTGATGCAAATCTTGTGCAGCCAAGAGAGCGACGAATCGCTCCATCTTGTCTGTTTGAAAGCAAAGGAAGTGGAAAACACCCTCCAACTCCTCATCGTAAAATGACAACTCCTTGTCTTGTGCACCCCAAAATGAACCTTGTCGACTCAAGACAAAGTCCCTGAACTCTCGGTCGTCCTCACTCTTTACAGTTTGCACACCCAAGCTCTTGATGACTTGAGCAAATCTGCCATTGCACCACGATGGTCTTATCTCAGACTCGAAAAAGACCAGCTTGGCCAATGTGCCCCCGATGTCAAGGCCGAGTCGGCTTCCAGAGTGACCCCCCCAGTCAGCATCCACCATGTTGTCGGCAAAGGCCTTACTTCTGAACTATATTCATTTCTGACCTAAATGCCGCAATATAGAGAAAAGTCGAGCTGCCGGGAACAAACCTGGCCAAATGACTGTCGCAGCAAGTTCAGCTTCTCTAGCAAATACTATCTTGCACTCTGAGCAACATGATCCGCTTTCAACGAAACATGCTGCATGCTATGTGCCCACCTTGGCTTTGAAGGTGAAAATCCATCAAGGGCAGGGTACCTTGCGGCTCAGGAGTCCTAACAACAGAGATGAAGAAAGAAAGGTGAGACCCCCTTGAAAGCGGGCCTTGCCTTGCTTTATTCATCCCTTCATTCTTCTTTTAGGAAGCCATTCCATCCAAGCTCTCTCCCTGAGATCCCTCGCTCTCGCTTCTCATCCTCATCTTTTACCTGGCAACACAACACAGGAAACATGATCCTCACCAACAAGCATGTCATGTTTTGCGAAGGAAAATGAACACTTGGCACCTTCAATTCTGGAAGTGGGGGTGGCCTCAGAACATCGAAAATCAACGAACTCTTCCATCCACCGGTATTGTGTCCCGTCCGTCCTCCGTCCTCCGTCGTCCGTCGTCCGTCGTCCGGTCCGTCCGTCCTCCCTCGTCCGGTCCCTGCAGCCCCGACTTCATGTCCTCGATGGCCACATCATCCTCCTCCATGGGCACCAACCTCGGTCGAGCGTCCAGAATCACGAGACGGTCGAGACGGGACCTCGGGGTGTACGAAAGAAGCCGAGCTCCACACACCACACCATCCAGATCATCGAGCTTGGCACCCAGTGTGATTGCAGACTGCAAGCCTGCATTCGTCGTCCACTTGTCACGGCCGTGCTGGAACTCACCCCTCCAGAGGCTTTCTCTGATGGAAGGTCTTGCAGAAATGCTCACCAAACAAAAATGCGTCTTTGCAGTTGGAAGGTTCTTGCGGCTTTGAACCTGTGCAGAGAGTAAAACCTGTGCGGAAGCACATTCCTGAGCACATTCTATGGAAGCCGTTGTGGGTTGGGCCTCTGGATGTGCGAAGCCGCGAGGATGATCCTCCACAGCCTTCAGAAGGCCCTGAGGTATGCCCAATGGGCGTGTGAGCACAGCATTTCCACTCAAGTACAGTAGCAAAGCGGCGAAGGAGGCGGCTTTTTTTAGGTCAAAGAGGTAGAGTACTCCAGACCAAGGTAAAAACAAGTGTTAGCTGGACGTTGACCATAAAAGCCCCTAGTCCGCTTAGGCAGTAGAACCACTGGCCCAAACTCAGGCTGTCGCCGCTCAAGGACCATGCCTCAGTGGTTTCTTTCGCACCACTCCCCAGGGGTCCTATTCCAGCAGGATGGACCAAAGCCCACACAGCTTTTGGTTGAAATGGTTGAATCCACGAACCACTCCGCTCCCTCGAGCCACTGAATCAGAAGTAAAGATGGTCCTCCTCTCGTCGCAGAGTCATAGAGAGAACGATCTAAGGACAACTTCTTTTGGCACTTCAGGACTGCCAACGTTTTTCACCAAGTCAATTGATGGACTCGGTGGAACTGATGGACTCGATGGACTCGATGACTCGATGTTCACCCACCACGGCCGTCACCGGTGTTCACCCGTTGGTCTCTCCGTCTTTCGCCGTTCCGCGGTGATTCCGATTCGTTTCGATGCAAAAAGAAAAAACGGATGGGTGTATCGATCGTTCCCGATCCATCGATCGCCCCCTGAGAGACGATCGTTACTCTGAGCTTCCGGCTGTAAGTCTTGATGTTGCTGCATTCAAAGACCTGGCCACCAAGGAGGCCAGACGTTGGTGCTCTGGACGTGGTCAACGACAGACTGGCGAACATGAAAAGGGCTCCAGCGACGCAAAGTCGGTCCAGGCGCCACGGGTTTCCAAGCCTCACAAGGGCTCCAGCAAGCACCAGATACAAAGAAAGAACCACCCAGAAGCTAGTTCATGCTATACATCATGCTATACATCCAAGTCTATCCGGTTACGAGAGTTCGTGGGGTGTTTGTCTTCGGCAGCTAGGCAGCACGCATACGTTTGCTACTAGGACTTGCCATTGTCTTTCTGCGCAAGTCCTCGGAGACCAAGGAAAGGCTCAGGTGACCATGAAACATGAAGCAAAAGGACATAGGCATAGGTGACTCAAGGAAACCTGTGTCTTTCTATGTTGTTTTCACTCCATCTCATTGCTACTCGATTTGCTTTAAGCTCTTTCCAAGAAATCGTGAAACCGGAACCGCAGTCTATCTCCTTGAAGTGCCTAGGCTGCTTCGCCTGCAGGCCCTCCTCACCTCAAACACGGTCACATAGAACCGGTGCAAAGCGTCCAAAGAATGAAAATACCTTGCTCAAACGACCCCGTGGCTTGGACATTGGGCTTCACCTGAACCTGGGGTTGGGTCACACCTGACCGCGGTCGCGCTGGTCAAAGTCTGCATCTGAGCCTGCGACAAACCCTGCCGTCAGGATTCATCTTGCATGAATGCGGTAGGGCAAATGACTGCCAATTTGTGACGAACGCGAAATCGTGTGAAATCTGGCTGATCTGGCAATTTCCACCAAACGGTTGAGGACCATCTCTTGTTCTTTTTTATGTTTTCTTACGAGTTGGATATTCTGTCTGATTTGGCACCAGTAAAAATACTAACATGATGAACTTAGCTAAACGATACAAGCACCCAAAGCATCCAACAGCTGCTGCAGCGGAATCTGCTACCCAAACGGCACCAGACGGTGGCACGGGAGATGAAGAAAGAGGGAGAAATTGAGAATTGAAAATTGCAAGGAATCCCACTATAGTCTATAGTCACTATATGTCACCAAATCACACCAACACACACACTTTCCGCGTGGTCTTGAGCAGCCACACACCAGCTCCTGTGCAAATGTCCTTCGCTCCAAAGAGCCAAATCTTTCGCGTCACCGGAGCGTGGCCAGCTGCGTGACCAGCGTGGCCGGAAGCGCCAAGCGCCGCGTCTCTTTTCTTCTCAGAGCTTTCCGGACTCGGATGTCCGATCTGAACGCCTCTACAGCGAGCCTTTGAAGGCTCGGAATTTCACTTCGGATCGTTTTTTTGCCTCTAAAGACAGAACTAGAGTCAGTGTGACATGCCCGTCGTGCCATGGGCCTATGAAAACTCATGTTGAACGTCCTAGAAAAAAGAAACCTGTTCATCATCCTGCTCAAAGGGGAGGAAGATAGTAAGGTTCTGAGTGGTTCATCAATAGGGTCAAAGCATGTCAAATGAGGTTCTTTGTAACCTCTCCAACAATCTTGTGACTCGCCATGCTTAAAGCATGACAATGCCACAAGTCTGATTGCCACCCCAATGGGATTACTGTGCACAAGGCTTCGCCCGCGCTGCACAAAAAACATCAAAAGCTCAAAGGCTACAGTGACGAGAGACCTGCCAAAGCGCCGGTAAAAGGTGACCAGTCGCAGTCCAGCGAGAACGACCGGCGGTGAACCGACGGTCACAGAGCTCCACAATGCTCCCAAGACACGGTCGACGCGGTCCAAGTCGATTCTCCATTCATCTGTCCATGATCTTCTCTGCCTGTCGCTCGCGAAAAAGAATGACATCTGTCTCGCTCACCCATGCCCATGTCTAAGCACAAGGCCAAGGACAGGTCCAGCTTCAGGTCGTCCTCGTCAATTTCGATGTCGAGGTTTCCATCATACCTGGAACACATTGGAACACCACACGACCGCCAGCAAACGGATGAAATCCACCCGTCAGTCCCGGGTCGTTGTTGGTCAGCCGGCGGACTGCACCATCAGGCCGAGGGCATCATGGACTACCTTCACCTGCACAAGAACCGAAGCCAAAAGAACATGTTGAGGCTTGTTTTGAAGATTCTCCGGAAAAAGAAACAAAAGCGCAGTTGCAACATCCGGGATCCTGAAGACCCCGAACAAAAGTTCCTCCTACAATACACGCGATCGTGCTGAAAGATCCCAAAGCCCACCCAAAAAATCCAAAAGCACTCGCAAACCCAAAAGGGGAAAACGGAAAAGCCCACGCGGCCTGAGCCACGAGCTCGTCAATTTCGGGCTCATCGAGCAGCTTCGCCGTTTTGGTCCGGCATCTCGGTGTTGAAAGTGGGCGACGTCACATCGGTAGGTCACCGGGTGGAACTACATGGAACTACGAGACGTGGTGGTTTTTGTTAAGGCACGGAAAAACGGCACAAAGCGGTGTAACTCGGGCGATCTTGGTTGATTGATTCAACATAATTCTCTTGTCTCTGAGTGCAACAAGGGCAAGAAAGCTGAGGTGCAGGCTTCCGGTTTGCTGTGGGGCGGTTGATGACAACCCGCCGAACAGCATCACGTTCGAATATGGAATCTCCTGCAAGCACTCGCAAGTGAACTGTTTGGGTCCCTCAAAGTCTTCCCGCAATGTCTTGTGCACAATTAGATAGATACTGTTAAATCAACCTATATACTAGCGATGGCCTCCAACCTAATAGCGATGGCCTCCAACCTAATAGCATGCACATGAAAACATACTCACAAAATGGAATTGTTTCCTATCGTGAAACATGTCGCTCATGTCGTCCATGTAGCGCGGTCTTCGTTGCTTGGAATCATCTCAAACATGCCAGTTGCACCGATGGAGATGACATTCTTCCAGCTTTGGTGTGCGTAGCGAGAGTAGAAGCCAGAGATCTCTTGTTCAAATGCTATCTCCTCACACAATGCACGCAAACCCTCACGCAAACTCGGGTTGCCAAATGTCTCGAAGATGCACGTCTTGTGTTCGTCGATGCTCCTTCCATCTTTGTGGTGCCATCTCATCAATCTGCGATTTGCCAATGCGAAACGCTCGATGCGAAACGGCCGTTTTGCGGCCAAGGCAATCTGTCAAAATAGGACGACCGGATCCAAACACAGGATCACCTCCATTTCAGTGGGCTTAGCACCGTCAATCATGGGAGTCTGTCTTGTAAGCCCATTTCTCTGCGATTTCAAAGAAGCAACCAACCTGCTGCGGTGCTCGCTGGCCCCCGTTGGCCAACTGGCGAAAAACAAACAAAATGCAATGCTTCTCGCCCCAAAAAACATCGTTGACTAATCAACATGATATACAGTTTACAGTAGTATACAGTAGTTGTTTCTCCACCACACAATTCAGGCCTTGTTAGCGCCATTGGCTGCATAGAGTCCAGGGAGAGCCCGGCCCGGAGCTGCATGAACCTTCGAGCATCACCGGGAGACCGTGCAGACCGTGCATCATCTGGGACCGCCTTTGCAGCATCACAGGTCATAGTGTCGAAGACAGACCGCGCCTTGGGCACAGAAAAAATGGACTCGGCAAGAGAGACAAACTGCTTCATGCTGGCTATCATGCTGGCTATATCTTGCTCATGCTGTTTTTCTCTCGAATTCTAGAAGCAACAGCCCGCCCAAAGAGTGAGTGAAGAACATCTTCATCATCTTCCAATACACAACATCTCTCTGACATACACCAACTCTTCAAGTCTCTGAGTCAAAGCGGCATAAATCACTTGGATTTGAGACACGATCGGCATCAAGGCCGGCAGAAAGTTCCTGGCGTCCAACCGCCCAACCGGAGAGCCGTCCGAGCCACTCGGTCCCAAACGCGGCGGCTTCACCGGCACGAGGTCTCCACCCAAGGTTCCATGGCATTCGTCACAATGATGACCTGAAGAAAAGGCACATTCGTTTGTTTTTGTTTGGCAAATATAAAGATCCCCCTTACTTGATTCAGGTGGCGTATTACGTTTTACAAACACTTGGCTGTTATAAAATGATCTGCAAGGCATCATTCTCTGTAAAATGCTAAAGCCCACACTTCATAAAATGACAACACTTCAGGCAGACTCCAGTCAATGTCATGAGTCATGAGGTATATATCCATATTCTGGAATCCGTAAGTTTTTCTTTTTTTTAACTGCACTTTCCTCTCCCTACATGATCTTATCTTTCCAGGGTCCCCTGTCATATGGGCAAACATGTTTCTATAAAATGACCCCTGAATGGCATTTTGTAAGCACAAGGCATCGGCATTTCATGGAGGTACATGTAAGGAGGGTATAAAAAAAGGTATGAAACCATCGAGACATTACAACAGTACTTTGTTTTGTTGATACCGTAAGTGCTCTTCCACTTGCTTTCAATCACTCCGATTCGGACCACTCAGTGGACTCCGGCCGCAGATGGGATCCACTCCGGAGAGGGATGAGCAGCTTTTTCCGAAGTGGCAAAGGCCGGAGGAGACTTCCACCATCAGCTCACGACCAGCTCACGACCAACGTATTTAAATCTGCAAAAAGAAAAGAAGAGAGTGCGTCTCAAATACACGATATAAATCACACTTGCTTAGACTTATTGGGCTCAACACACACATCTGCATGGTATCAGCGCAGCGTATCCCGTCTCCCACAATGCCCTGAGCCTTGCCCATCTTCATGGCAAGCTGTAAAGTCGCCTCTAAAGACAGGCATCACCACGCAAGCCACGCATCGAACGGACAGTAACACTCGAAGTGAAACACATCAAGCCACAAAAAAAACACAAACTACTTTTGTGCCTCCACATGCCTTTGAAGCTCTCGCAAAGGTTTCTGGTACCTCGTTGCCAATCTTGTGGAAGAAACATATCGCAAATGGTAAGTCATGCTCCAACCATCTCACCGTGCAACAAAATAAGAATAGGAAGTTCTACTGGTGATTTGCGAGATGTCCTTTGGCTTGGTCGACACTTGAAACTCCTTTTTTCATTCACCCAGCTGGGGCACTTTTCGTCCGGAGGACAAGGCTTGAAAAAGCTCAAGGCTGGCCGATTCTGCAGGCAAGGCAGTCGACTCTCTGTGCTTCCAACAGCCAGACTTGCCTTGATATAACAACCCTACAGTGGCGAGGACCCCTTCCCCTCTGGTCCCTCTGTCTTGGTTCTTTCAAGTGAGTATAAGGCAGCACCCTGCACACCCAGGGCAGAACAGGCATCGCCCAGAACAGGCCCAACTCATAAGCCCGAAGCGTCCACATCACACCCAGAGAAGTGAAGACGAACACGAGCGCCCACCGTGGGAAGGTGGGAAGGTCATGTTTGCAACACAAGCTTCAACGGACAGTCTACTGCCAGCATTGTGCAGCCCGAGATGGCGCTGGCAAGCAAATGAAAACCCCCGATGGAGGCAACAATGCATTCTTGTCGAGGTCTGACGGCTGAATCTCCTTTGAGTGCAGCTAAGTTCAGGATGGCGACCGGATGCTACGACAACGTGACACGGTCCGCTCATGTCACCCAATGCCCAGCCTCTCGGATCCAGTTGGAAGGACAAAGGGTGTCATCCCAATCGAACAAGATGATGGTTTGTTCAGGTCTGAAGTACCTTGCAACAACCGAACGACACCGTCGACACCCGATCTCAGCGACCACGTGCCGAGGCACTCAGCTTGGCTTCCTGTGCTTGTAATCGATTCAATGGTCTGCCGAATGGTTGGCTTCAATCGAGAGGAGCTGGAAGTGGAAGATTGCAATGCCTCAGAGGTCACTCGAATG